CTTGACTAATCTCCCACGAAATGAACACTGAAGTAGTAAAAATACCATCTAGTGGTCCTTCAAAGTACAAAATCAGTTTAAATTTTTCCCTTGTTCTTTTCCACAAAAACCTCAAGAGAATCTGTAGTAAAAGCAATAATTGATTCGGCCTTTCTGATCAGTTTATTAATCCCTATTTGTATCATCCACAGTGATATTAGCTCCCCAGCAGAGCACTGCATAGAACTGAAGACATAAGAAGCTTTAATACCAAAGGAATTTAACTTCCTCAAAAATAATAACCCTGACTCTGGTTTCTTAAAGACAACCTCACTGTACTTTCTCCAGTTTAATTTACCGTCCAAATGGATGCACCGGCCGCAGTTTATAGTTGTCATTTTTCTTTTGTAAGTATTTTTCTAGATGTTATCAATGTTTTATTTCTCAATGACATGCAAGAAAATAACCAAATAAAGAATTTAAAGAAAAAAAAAAAGGTCTTCACTTCCTTCCGGTCACATGATGCTGTCAAGTTCCTGCTTCCAGGAAGCACTGCGAAGGCAAACCCTCCCAAAGTGTAATGTTCATGTTACCAATAAGTATTCTTTGTTGACATCTACATAATCATGAAGGTCTCTAGAATCATCCAAACAAAACAAATCTTAAAGGAGATCTGTAGTTTTTAGTATACTTAGTCAAAAGTCCAAGCGGCAGCTATAATTCCTGGTGGGCAAATGACTTGTAAGTACATATCATGGGGAATACTGTTAATAGGTTAATAAATCAAGGTTATTGGCCTTGTTTAGTGCTTTTTTGCTTTCATAATATCCCATCTAAAAGAAATCAATGATCAACTCCTTAGTCTTCTCCACATTAAAAAAAATAAATTAAAAAAAATAATCACACCATATAACAACAAGCTGAACCTCTCTTCTATTGTACAAATCATTATTTTGTTTGATTAGATCCACAAGTTTGGTGTCATCAGAAAACTTTTGTAGACAGCAAGATGACGGAGTATGCCTACAATCAGAAGTATACGGTGCAAATAAAAAGGTGACAAAAAGATAAAATAGAAGTGTATCTGAGTTTACCTTGACTCAATGTTTTACATGTTGACTGTGTATTTAGAAAAGCCAGTTATTCACATATCTTTACATCAACAGCTTTAATAGATCATATATACATAATCATGAAGGTCTCTAGAATCATCCAAACAAAACAAATCTTAAAGGAGATCTGTAGTTTTTAGTATACTTAGTCAAAAGTCCAAGCGGCAGCTATAGTTCCTGGTGGGCAAATGACTTGTAAGTACATATCATGGGGAATACTGTTAATAGGTTAATAAATCAAGGTTATTGGCCTTGTTTAGTGCTTTTTTGCTTTCATAATATCCCATCTAAAACATAACTTAACCCTTTAACTGACATCTCTACTGTACAGTAGACCTTAATTTGATTAGTCTTCTCCAAATCAAATAAAAAAATAAAAAAATAAAATAAAAAAAATCACACCATGTAACAAAAAGCTGAACCTCTCTTCTATTGTCCAAATAATTATTTTGTTTGATTAGAGCCACAAGTTCAGTGTCATCAGAAAACTTTTGTAGACAGCAAGATGACGGAGTATGCCTACAATCAGAAGTATACGGTGCAAATAAAAAAGCTGACAAAAAGTGAAAATAGAAGAGTGTATCTGAGTTTACCTCGACTCAATGTTTTACATGTTGACTGTGTATTTAGAAAAGCCACAAAGTTATTCACAAATATTGTAACAGCTGTAATGGATCATTGATCTTAATTTAATTAGCGTAAAAACATTATTTATTAATGCTTTTTGCCTTGACAATTATTTTGAAATACTTTAGTACACCGTCACCATTTATTTAATGTATTCTGTCGTGTTGTTTCTTAACGCTGCACAATCAGACCGCCAGCTGTGGAGGCGTGGCTTCGGCGGTCAGAGGTGGTTTCTTAACGCTGCACAATCAGACCGCCAGCTGTGGAGGCGTGGCTTCGGCGGTCAGTGTTGGAGGAAAGTTCAGTGATTGGTTTGAAATCTTACAGACTCTAAACCAATGGGCGACTCGCACGCTCTTTTAAAAACAGTAGAGCGGTGTTCACGGGCTCATTTTTTCTGTTTTACAAAAGTAGAAATTTTTACAATCAATAATGAGTGGAAGAGGCAAAACCGGTGGCAAAGCGAGAGCGAAGGCCAAGAGTCGCTCCTCCAGAGCAGGACTGCAGTTCCCCGTCGGTCGTGTCTGGATTAAATGTGTCAAAAGGAGATACTGCTGCGTCAGTCACACAGAGGGAAGAATGGAAAGATAAAGAGCTAACGCATGGGATTAATTGCTGTAGATGATCTTTTTCTCACTTTTATGACATTGTCTTGTAAGGGGCAAAATATTGAGGCCCCTTTATCCAGTTTGGATGTGTTTCATTCTAATTGGTCAAGGACCCTAATTCTTTTTATGACTAGTAGCTTATGATTCCATTACAATGTTGAAATTCAGACAAGTAATGAGTTTACATTTACATTATTATATGAAATCACCTACTAAAGTCAGCCATTGAATACTATGGGCCTAAAAAAATGCGTAATTTTCTTTCAGGTATACCTTTTTTATTATACAGATGTGATATTTTCTTCATTCTATTTATTTTTATTTATTTATTTTTATTTAACTAACACACCTCTAAGAATTAAAATACCTGCATGTTCAATAATAAGTAAATACATAAACAAGCAATCATGGGTGTAGCCTACACATGATAATTATTTAAATAATCAGATATTTTAAAAATAGTATCATTAATTCCATGAATATCAAGGACTTTTGTCAGGGTTAATCCATTTGACCTAATCAATATGTGCTAATTCATAAATATGTGATATTTCACAAAGTATAGTATGCAAATATGTTTATGTAAATGTATAAAACTGCTTGAACCTTCACTGCAGTACTCCATGTAGGCTACTTATACTAAAACTGCTGACGTAAGGGAAAGTTCACACAAAAATGGAAGTTGTGTCATCATTGTGTCGTCTTCAAGCTGCAAACCTGTGAGATTCTTTCTTCTGTTGAGCACAAAAGAAGATATTTTACAGAATGTTGGTAACCAAACAGTTAAATGTGTGATTTTCTTTCAGGTATACCTTTTTTTATTATATAGATGTAATATTTTCTTCATTCTATTTATTTTTATTTATTTATTTTCATTTAACTTTTTTATACACAATACACTGTTGGGGCAACTTTAAGACAAATGGATTTGTTGTGTTTTCATATTCAAGAGATTATAAACTAGATGCAACTCTTTTTGGGGTTGCATCGAATGTTCTTCTACTTTCATGCATGATAAATTTGTTTGTGAATAAAGATTGATCTGTTGAGAGCAGCTATTTTGAGTTAGATGCCAAAAGCTCTCCTCTTATTCAAATCTGACATTGAAGGGCTGCATACAACATATTTGCCCACCGGCAGCTATAGTTCATTATATAGTACATTCAAATACGATTTTCAAGAAAAAAAAGAAAAAAAAAACTTGGGGAAAATAAATGCAGAACATGTTCACATAGGACACCATTAACATGACTTTATGCATGAAACCATTCAGAAATATTTGGGCACAAATGGGTTAAGTAAGAAAGTTATCGTCCAAATAAGTATGCTGTATAACTGTTGCAAATACAATCAACTGCTGGAGATTATTTTACACAGCCATTTAACCCAATGAATAAATTAATATTTCATAAGGATTATATAAAACAATGTTAGTAGGAAACTTGTAATTAAAATTTAAATAATAAACGCAACAAAGCATTTTGAGCGGGAAACAAACAGTCCAGTTTGAAAACAGGAGATGCGCAGTCATTGGCTAGCAGTCATGCGCAGACGTCACACATCAGCCAATCACAAGCCTCTGCACCTTTAGGACGCCATAAGCTGTGACCGTAAGATGCTTTAAAAGCAGGCGCGTAAAATAGAGCTGCTTATTCTATTCACGCAAGATTGAGACAGAACTGTATCGCAGTCATGGCAAGAACCAAGCAGACCGCTCGTAAGTCCACCGGTGGCAAAGCCCCGAGGAAGCAGCTCGCTACTAAAGCCGCCCGGAAGAGCGCCCCAGCTACCGGCGGCGTCAAGAAGCCCCACCGTTACAGGCCCGGGACCGTGGCTCTCCGAGAGATCCGCCGCTATCAGAAGTCCACCGAGCTGCTGATCCGCAAACTGCCTTTCCAGCGTCTGGTGCGAGAAATCGCTCAGGATTTCAAGACGGACCTGCGCTTCCAGAGCTCCGCTGTCATGGCCCTGCAGGAGGCCAGCGAGGCTTATTTGGTCGGTCTGTTTGAGGACACCCTAACTAGCGGGGGAGGGGTGCGCCATGTGATGCGCGCTGGTTTCACTTAGGTCCTGTAAGCAACTGTAAACGGCCTCTCAGGAGTTCTTGTCTTTTATTCGTGTTCGTCGCTAGAAGCGGCAGGGACGCACCTTGTACGGCTTCGGAGGATAAACGCCTTTAAACCACGAACCCAACGGCTCTTTTAAGAGCCACCCACGCGCTCACAGAAAGAGACAAAAAGTTATATAACCTGCTGTAGTTGAAAATAAACAACAAAAAGGACGTTGAGAACGAACCCCATTTGAACAAATCAAGTGTAATGCTGGTGTATGTTTCACCGAAAGTATAAGTATGTTCAGGTCTCTCAGCCCAAAACTTTTTTATCAAATTTTATTTATATTATGTTTTGTGTTTTCATTCTCTGCTGTGGCAGTTTCTATCATTAAAACAAAGTTCTCGTGTGTAAACATGCCTGACAATAAAACTCTCCTTCAGATTTGTGTTCTGATTCTCAAAAGTGGAGCTTGTATGTTGTATATTATATATTGCCACCCCAAAGGCTCTTTTAAGAGCCACCACGATCACACTGAAGGAGAGTTAACGCTGTAAAGCTGAATATAGATCAAAATAACATGGCGCTCAAATGTTTAATGAATTGTTTTGTCTACTTTTTATGAATCACTAAGTGCAATTACTTCAAGGAAGGTTACACACATGCAAAAACATGACAATGTGGATGTGCAGTGACACACTTCTGTAGGTAAATACTAAAGCTAAAATTACCATAGATCTAATGCGCATGTGTACATATTACAGCTAAGTGCAATTATCTATGAGGTTAATATTAAAGCGTTATAGACTGTAATAAAATATTGTAAGGTGAGTCATACATGTCTGTTGACACGTTTAATGTGAACGTACAAGTAATTTCGTTATAATAGGTGTTTATTTCAAATAAATTGAGAACCACTGATTTAATGTTTGATAGGACATCTGTAGCTCTATTTGGTGTGTGTTCCTGCAGCTCTGATGATATGTAAGTCAGTTTGGTTAAAAGCATCTGCCAATCATCATGTCTGTAAATATTATGCAGATATGATCTTTTAAATTGTCAAATGAATGTTTTAAAACATGGATTTTAATATGAAACACAGGACAGACATCGTTAGATCAGGTTTGGCTTAAACCTCATTGTGTCCTGCTCTAACTAGCGGGGGAGGGGTGCGCCATGTGACGCGCGCTGGTTTCACTTAGGTCCTGTAAGCAACTGTAAACTGCCTCCCTGGAGCGCATGTCTTTTATTCGGTTTCGACGCTAGACTGAAGCAAGAAATATTTTCAGCATTCCTGGAAGAGGCAAAGGCGGTAAAGGGAGTATATTCGTGTCAAACTGTTGTGTAGTTATCCTGTTTTTATTGTCTATCTGTCGTTCTCTGCTGTCAAAGCTTGTCACTAAAACGAATTCTTCGTGTGTTTAAACATCCGGCAATAAAGCTCTCATTCTGATTTTAGTTCTCAAAATTGGAGCTCGTATAATGTTATATTTTGCTGTCGGAGGCGTGCATAATGAGAATCTGTCTATTTTTTTTCTTCTTACGTGTCATTTGCATTTGCTTGTTTAGCCTTTCCTCTTAATAAAATAAAGAGGAAAATACAATCAGATGGCAATGATGCTTAAGTTTGAGAAGAAGTGAAATTGGCAGGAGAACTGAGGACAATAAAAACTGTCTAATCGTTAATGTTTTCCTTTCTCCAAATTCTCTCAATGGGTTTATTAGGGATTTTATAGATTACACTGTATGATATTGATCCTGTGTGATGTTTGAGACGCATTTTGTTGTATAGAATATTACGAAAAAAAGAGCGGGAATTGAAAACAAGGAAACTTAGTCACGTGGGCTGATGTCGTTCAAACATTGAGGCTATCATTTCACCGCCTGTGATTGGCCCTCGTTCCGCTCGTGATACTTCGAGTTGTCCAATCACACACGGGTTTATGGGTTTAGTCTGTGAAAACACGCAATCAGAAGAGTCCACATCTCTGTGATAATTAGCATAGATTAGTGAATAAATGCCTCTGTCTAGCTCGTTCAAATCATCGTTTCGTGAGGTTTGATTTCGCAGCAGCATCATGCCTGAACCAGCGAAGTCCGCGCCTAAGAAGGGCTCAAAGAAGACCGTCTCTAAGACCGCAGCGAAGGGAGGAAAGAAGCGCAGAAAGAGCAGGAAGGAGAGCTACGCCATCTACGTCTACAAAGTGCTGAAGCAGGTTCATCCTGACACCGGGATCTCTTCGAAGGCGATGGGCATCATGAACTCTTTCGTCAACGACATCTTCGAGCGCATCGCCGGTGAAGCGTCTCGTCTCGCTCACTAGTTGTCTGATTCTTCTTTTCATGATGAGCCATACATTTTCAATAGAAGACAGATCTGCTGGCCGGTCTGGCACATTCACTCACCCGCCCCCCCCTACACATATCATAAACCCGTTTGTTTAGACAAGTACCAGATAAGTTGTCATGAAATATTTTAATATGACTGCATTTGTATTTAATGTGATCACAGGTTAATAAAAACATAAGTTACTAATTATAACACTTGCATTTCCACAGTTATTCAAACAGAGAATTCATGAGTTTCAGTCAGAATTAATTCAGCACACACGCGCAGTGAACAAAACTCTGAGGTTTCAGCGATGATTCATCTGAACGCCTCTGATTGGCCATTGCATTCCTAAGCTCAACAGAATCGCGTGTATTTGGTTATAATGTGCAATGCTGTAAAAACGCGTAAAAAGAAATATGATATAGCATGAGCAGGTCTAAATTTAATACAGCAATCAAAACTTTTCATTTAATTTTCATTTTCACTAGTTTCAAGTTTAAAGTATTATAGTTTTATTGAAAAACCAGGGGGAAAACCAGTTAATTTTTTTGGGTGTTATGGGGGGTCCCTTAATGCTTATGGGAGGTCCGGAACCCCCCCCACCTCAAATCGAACAATGTATAATAGTCATGGACTTCCCGTGAAAGACATCATTTTGATAGCAGTTTATGTCTCTGTTCAATCCCAGTATATGCCTCCATGTCAATGGTACCGTCACACATATTCCAGTCACCCGTGCCATTTGCTCTGCTGCACCCCCATATAATGACAGACATTTGCTTTTGCTTCTTTCGCTAATGAAAGTCTGGATGCAATGTGGACTCATCTGAGCACAGCACACATTTCCACTGCCTTGTTGGCTGTCTGAGATGAGCTCTGGCCCAGAGAACCCGAATTGATGTATAGCTTTCTCCTAGAGTAACAGATATTCAAGTTGCATTTCTTGATGCAGCAGCAGACTGTGGTAAATGACAGTGGTTTTCTGAAGTACTCCTGAGCCCATGTGGCTATATTTAACACCGCAGCATGACGGTTTCTCATGCAATGCCAGCTGAGGGCTCAAAGGTCAAGCACATTCAAAGGTTTCCTGCCTTGCCCTACATGTACTGTGATTTATCTGGATTCCCTGAATCTTTTCACAATATTATGTATGGTACTTGGTGAAAGACCTAAATTCTTTGCAATTTTGCATTGCGAAATGTGATTTTTGATTTGTTTGATACTTCTCTCGTGAAATTTGGCACTAAGTGATGAGCCATGATCCAGCTTTGCTTGCAAAGACTGAGATGCTCCTTTTAAACCCAAACATGATAGCCTGACCTATTACCAATTCACCTGCTTACTGTGAACTGTTTCAAAACAGATTAAAGTGGATATTCTATAACCTTTTCACTTTTATTTTGCATCTGTCCCACCTTTTTTGGAATGTGTAGCAGCCATCAAAATCAAAATTTGTTCATATTTACAAAATACATTTACGTTGGTCAGTGAAAACTTTGTAAATGTATTCTTTGTACTTTTGTCAATTAAATAAAAGTTAAAGAGAATTAACTAATCACAGATTCTTGCTTTAATGCATTTTACAAAATGTCCCAACTTCTCTGGAATTGGGGTTGTAGATATATCAAAAATAGTTAAGTAATACTACTTTTTGTCCAATCAAATGCTCTCTAGACTGAAGATTTCTCAAGAGCAATTTTTGAAGGGGACACAAATAATACAGCTAAAATTGTACTTGTAAGGATATGTATACACAGCCTTACTACTATTAGTGCAGACCGTGTCAAATTAGACAACTTCAAGCTGTTGTGGTCGCGCCGCGACAGCGGTCGTGTCCATTGTAGACATTACTATCTATCAAGCAGGTAACGTTATTATTGCTAACATAGCGGACTCATTGAAAAATACATTGGCATCATGTATTAAAGAGAAAATAATCACTTCATCCGATGTTTAAGTGAATAAAAGGCCTTATTCCTTGACAGCCTTACTTACTGGAGTTCCACAACTATTGACTTTTCTCTCACCAGACTTGTGTGTGTAGGTCAGGGTTGCCAGGTTTTCACGACAAAACCCACACAATTGCTACTCAAAAATAGCCCTAAACTAGCCCAATCATGTTTCAAGGGGGATCCCCCGGTAAAAATCACATTCCGGTGGGGTAAAATACACGTTTTTGGTGGGGTTCCCCTGGTAAAATTCACATTTTAGGGGTTGAATATCACATTATTGGGGTCGCTTAAACCCGCAAACATGAAAAACAACCTGCGGCAACAGTGTTAAAGTAGCCCAATTCCGAGGGAAAACTGGTGTAGGTGATGTAAAAGAGGAAAGCAGGCATTTGGACCAAACGCGAACCCAATAACGTGTATTTTAACCCCCGGAACGCGATTTTTACCGGGGAACCCCTTTTGAAACGCGGATAGTTTGGGCTAGTTTTGAGTCGCAATTGGGCGGGTTTTGTTGTGGAAACCTGGCAACCCTTTCCCTCAAGCAGGTAACGTTATTATTGCTACTATAGCGTACTCATCGAAAAATACATTGGCATCATCTGTATTAAAGAGGTTACACAATTATTGAAAGTATCAAACATTGTTATTTACAATACACAGCATGGTTTTTAATCATAATTTTAGGGGGGACAACCCTCCAATAATAAATGGAAAAAAATGGGAACAGGTGTGTAACTCAGAAATATGCAACAATATGAATCCCTCAAGAACAACAACAAAAATGAATTAGTTTTCAGTAAATATGTAAAATAAGCTGTCAAACAATGTTTTTACAAAACACATGCAAACAAGTTAAGGAAATTTATAAAGACTTTTGAAATAAGTTGTTAAAGCTGGTGGCTCTAGCACAAACAGAGATGCATTATTCAAACGGATATTATTTAGAATAATGTCTAATCTTCCTAACTGTGGAAAAATCTCTCCAATAGTAAGATGCAAAATATTTCAGGAAGTCACAAAGTTCAAATTCAGAGTATTTGCGTTTATGTATTCCTAGGTTTTCGTCTGAACACTTGACAATGACATTGAGTGTAAAAAAAAACCCCTCTATATGTAAACCAATCACAAATGTATATTCCACATCTCATTATAAAATGGAGATTTCCGGTGCTTGATTCTGATTGGCTGAGCCACGTTCGAAGCTGTTGTAAATTACTCTACAAACATATACCTTTGTTTATGTTTGTCTGTTGCTCGGCAACCATTTTGTTGGAACCACAACTGTTTCTGAGGAACTACATTGTTTGGTCCAGGCCACATTATATTATTAATGACCTGTCTGCTGTAAAATAATAATGAACCATAATGAATTAATTCTTCTGATGCTTGGAAGAGCATCTACTCAGAATACTCCAACTCTTCAACAAGGAAGCGCTCATTTTTTAAAAGACTTTGGTAAAGTTTATCTTTCAGTTTAGTTGTTGTGAGAAAGTTCAGAAGCTTTCTCATTTTGTCTTGTGGTGTTTCTGAGTTTAAGATGGTTTGGTATTTTTCATCACCAATCAGAGGTTTCATGTCGTCTGCAATGGGCTCCACCAGTGAGACCCGTCTGATCAACTCTGTCCTGTGCTTCTCCACAAACTCAGCGCCTAGATGAACAACATATTTAATGAAGAATCTGCATAGAAACAGCCTGATCTATTTCCATAAATAATTTTTACCTTCACCATTTTTGCATCTTTCTTGTTTCTGTGCTGTGTCAGTCTCTGCAGACTCATGACCTGGGTAAAGATTAAACAATAAATCAATAAACTAAATTAATTAATTAATTAATTAAAATCATTACGTCTGCTAGGGGTAAGACACAATAAAAATAATAAAGACTCATCTCATCAAGCCAAAAAACGTCATAAATTGAAGGTGTAGATTTATTTAAGAGATGAGGAGAAACAGTCACTGAGTGGTACAGGGCTTCAGAGAGACCCAAGGCCCAAAACAACAAATAAAGTCAGTCTAGAAAATAAATCAATGTAATTAACCTAACAACATAAAATAAAAATACAAAGATCCTTACCTAACTACTCTTAACAAAAACAGAGAGAACAGATTACAAAAGGGCAGGTCTCTCCTACACTGAACACATAATGAGTAAGAAACAACTTTAATAAACACTAGCAGGAGTCTTTGATCTGGTGGCTGACGAAGAGTCTGGAACAGCAATTCCCGAGGGGGAACACTTTTTGAAAATTTCCCCTACAGCTTAATGAACAAAAGTTCATCATTTGCATGTGTTTTTACATTGTTGCCAAGTTAAACATTTAAATGATTTTAACCTGTTATGCTGTAGGCCTAAGTAACCGAGCCTAACCAAGATTTTTTGTTTGTTTAAAAACCGGCCATCATTATATGAATATTTTAATGTTTATGCAAACAAAAGGTGCATAGTTGGCAGACTCTGTTCCATGTTTTGTGTGTGTCTTGCTGCCCATGTGCCTTCCTATGCCCTTATTTGGTTAGTTTCCTGTTCCTGTCCTGATTAGTTAAGTTCATTTGTCCCAGGTGTTTCCCTTGATGTTTCATTGCTCCCAGGTGTGTCTCGTCATCCCCTCCTCCTGTGTGTATAAATAGTGTTCCCTGTGTGTGCTCCAGGGTCCGGTATTGTATGTTAATGAATGTGAATGTCTGCTGAAGTCTACCGCCGTTACTACGTGTGTTTTCCTGGTTCCCTTGAAGTTATTAAAATCCCATCATTAATGTACTCCTCGTCTCTCTCCGTTCCTTGCTCCTCAGTCCGCTCAGCAGTGCACCCGTGACAATAGTGCTGCTAATTGTATTTGTTTGTTGGTTTTTGACAAAACTCATGATTTCATTGTGTATGAGTAGCTAATTGTTGCACTTTGTAATTTTTATTTATTTTTTTTTTTTTACTTCATAAACAAAAAAGTGCAACATTTGACAATATGATTTCTTGATGATTTGTTATTTTATAATAGTGGTTTTATAATTTCTAAACATTAAGCAACAAGTAGAGCTAACTGACGGATGAGCCAATAAGTGCTCCTCTCATGCCATCTACTGGTTATAGTGCTAATTTGAAGTTTTTATTTATTTTTTTTGTTTTTTCCCATACGTGTATACCACAAAGTTTATTTTGGTTATCCCATTAAAAATGGGGTGGTTTTGTTATGCTTTTATATTTCTCATATGCAACAAAAATGGCAGCGCTTAAGTTGGACAATGCGATGGTCGCACCAGTGCAACCGCTCACAAAATGTAGTCACACCGGCAGAAAAAAATGGTCGCAGTCTGGACCCCTGTCATTTATTAAAGGGGTCATATGATGCGATTTCAAGTTTTCCTTTCTCTTTGGAGTGTTACAAGCTGTTCGTGAATAGATAAGATCCCTGAAGTTGCAAAGACTAAAGTCTCAAAACCAAAGAGATATTCTTTATCAA